TATTAGTTAATTAATATATGTAATTATAATATAGATAAAAAACCTGGAGGATATAATAGGAAAGTATTTAAAAAATTGAAGGGTTAAAACTAAAAATATTAAAGGGTTAAAATTGAAAAATAAAATAAATAAATTTTAATTATTTTATTGTTTTATATAGGTGGGGGTATAGAAAGAGTAGGGGGAAAGAAGTGGCAGGGGTGGTGTTAGAATACCCCTATTAAAACACAAATAAACAACTTTATTTTTCTTTTTTCCTTTTACTTTTCTCTTCTTTTCTCATTCTTTCTTTCCTTCTCAAATTCAAAAACATAATATAAAAGTTTGAAATGATGTTAATCTTCTTAAATTCGAAAACATAGTATAAACGTTTAAAATTGTGTTAATCTTCTCAAATTCGAAAACATAATATAAAAGTTTGAAATGATGTTAAAAAACACTAACACGAGATGACATGGAAAACCAACATATTTACATTGATTTACATAGTGTTACTCGGAAATAAGAAGAATAGACTTTGTGACTCCAAATGATATCATACTATGTACCAAAAGTATATCATATGATATTTTTGATGATGAAACAAATTAGTGATACTACATAAAAATGTTCTAGTAGATAATATTAATTTAGAAATGAGTATTGATTGATTCTACGTCCAGGAATACTCGGAAAAACGGTTTTATATGAATCCAATGTTATTTCTGATGATAAAAACAATATATTGAAAAAAATATCGTACTTATCGAGAGTCCCTTTTTGCATCTCGCTCAGGACCTAAAAAATGTCAGAAACAGACCTAATCTTACAAAGCAAACAAACGCTACAAAATTACTAATAAAAAAACTAATTAATATCAGACTCTAACGGCTCTTTAGAAAAAGTATTACTTATGTTTTTTTTTTTTCAAAAATTGAAAAAAAAAGTTCAAAAAGCATAATTTATATTTATATAATTAAAAATATTTTAATGTAGCTTTGGATCTCACGACAATGTCACCATCATTACCACAGCGCGTTTATGGGTCCAAAATTCTGACACGTAATAAAAACCAAAAAATTTTGAATTTTCGAAAAAATATATTTTCTAATTTTATTTAATAAAATTAATTATATTTCATGATTTTATTCTATTAAAAACGAAATATTTAATAAATAAATAAAAAAATAATCCCTCTCACTTATTGCCAGTTACTTCAGTTTACGCGTTTTGTGGACATCACACCACAATTTATGATTCCATTAAAAAGGGAAAGAGCACCAAATAACGCGTGAACACAACACCCCCCACACACACACACCTTTTTCTCTTAAACCGTCGTCCCTCCAACACACACGAAAACACACACCACTTCTGTTTCCTCTCTGCTTCTTCAATGGCTATTTTAACCATCGTCTTTCTCCTTCTTCTCTTCGTAATTGGCCTTTTTTCGACTCTTTCAAGAATACCCACAAAGAAGATCGCTGTTTTTTTTCAAGAATTTCAGTCGTCGTCATCCCGTCAAGATTCAGTCAAAAGTAAAGATCAGAAGAAGAAGATGGTGACGAAGAAGAAGGGGAGCTTGGATTCCGATCATTCGAGAGAGAAAAAGGCAGAGTTGAAGAGCGTTTTCGCCACTTTCGACAAGAACAAAGATGGGTTCATCACGAAACAAGAGTTGAGTGATTCGCTCAAGAACATCGGGATCTCAACGAGTGAAAGAGATGTGTTGGAAATGGTTCAAAAGGTGGATGTGAACGGAGACGGGTTGATCGATTTCGACGAGTTCTGCGAGCTTTTCGAGTCGATGATGAGCCGAGAAGACCAAGGTGGGAGCAAGATCGATGGCGGTGTCGAGAATCTTGATCACGAGGATGGGGATTTGAAGGACGCATTCGATGTATTCGATGGCGATAAAAACGGACTCATAAGTGTTGAGGAATTGGGGAAGGTTTTGGATTCATTGGGGTTCAAAGAAGGCAAAAAGTTGGAGGATTGCAAGATGATGATAAGCAAAGTTGATATCGATGGTGATGGTATGATCAACTTTCACGAGTTCAAGAACATGATGAAGAATGGTATTAGTCTTATTTCGGTTTCTTGAATTCGTCGTCTTCTTTTAGGAAAAATCTTGGGTTTTTTCGCGCCCCTGCGTTATCACGGATACAACAAACCAATCAAATTTAGGTATTATTGAAGTAGGGAAATGTATATAGTGTAGCATTTGACTTTGATTTCCTATTTGTGCCTTTGGTTTTCAACTAGGAAACTAGTTTGTTTTCTTATTTTCTATATGTTGTACAACAAGTTTAATGGGTTTTCATATTATTTTATGGCTTAATGGTTCGTCAAGATTAAACCTTTTAGTTCTAACAGGTCTATGGTGTCAAAAAAAAAATGAAGTAAAATTGGTAAATTATTAAACTACTCATTTTCAATCAAAACCCTTCGTCAATCTATAACATAATATGTTGGATAGATGGTATGAATTTGAGTAATTGGATTTAAAGTCGCAACAACC